CCCTCCTCCTCCTCCTCCTCCTCCTCATCCTCCTCCTCCTCCTCCTCCTCCTTCTCCTCCTCCTCCTCCTCCTCCTCCTCCTCCTGCAGCTGGCCATAAAGTCCAGGGCAAACAAGGGGGGAGGAAATTCTCTCTTCCAAACCCGCGGAGGGGCCTCGAGGGCGCCCAGGGGCCTGGCAGGCCGAACGACTCCACATTGGCCGACGCCCACCGACCTGGGCCTCGAGTCCTCTGAAACCTAACTCGCTTGGCGGGCCCCTCGACCACGACGAAAACGAGCTGCATGGGAAGACGACCTCAACGCATGAAACCAGCCAGTGCAACACGCAAAAGCATGAAATCTGCGAGGCCAGAAACATGCAAAGCGTGAAAGCTCGGCCAGGCCAAAACCATGCAGAGGATCACCCTGTCAGTCGCTGTCCTCCTGCCGCGCTCCGCGGCTCTGCAGGCGGCGGCGGACTCGGCAATGCTCCTGCCCGCTGGCCGCTGCCTCCCATCTGGGCCTCCTAGGCCGCGCGCCGCGAGGAAGCCAGCGCGGCCTCCTCCCTGGGCGGGGGCCGCAGGGGCCGCAGGCCCGTTGGCGGAGGCCTCGAGGGCCTGGGCCAGCTGCGCCTCCTGAGGCGCCAGCAAACCCGGGGTTGAAGGGCCTCCTGCTCCTTGTTTGCCTGGCCCTGGCGCGGCACGTCCCGGCCCGCCCGGGGCGCACGAGCTCGCCGCAGCGCTCGCCGCGGCGCTTGCTGGAGCTGCCGCCGCCTCGCCCTCGCCCTGGACGCCAAGCCAGGCGAGATAGCGCTTCTGCGCATCCTCGGGGACAAGCCCCTGCTGCCGCAGCGGTGGTGCCTCAGCTCCTGACACACTCTTGCCACGCAGGCGCGGGGCTCCTCCAGGGTGCTGGCCCCTCTCCCAGAGGCGCAGCTGGTTCTGGCCGGTCTTGTCGGGCGCCTTGCCTGGGCAGGGCTCCTCGAACCTCGGCTTGCCCCCGCTGCGGCCGCCCAGCCGCATGTAGGCCCCGCAACGCGTGCAGGCCAGCACCTCCTGCTCGTCGTCGCCGTGCCAGCAGCGGGCGTAGTTCAGCACGTGGCCAAGGGAGCCGGAGACCAGGGGTCCCAGCGCCAGGCCGCCGCTGGCCTTGGCCGCGGAGCGGGCGCCGTCGAGGCGCGTCCGCTTGGCGCCCTGCTCGGCGGGCTGCTCGGAGCCAGCGGGCGGCTCCTCGAAGCGCACTCGGCGCCGCTCGTCGCCGTCGGGGAAGCCCTCGCAGTCTGCCGATGCCCTGCCAAACGACCGAGGCTTGGCCGATCCATCGCGCCAGCTCCGCGACCACCTCGGCGCAGGCGTGGTACTCGGCCACGGTTGCCTCGTCCACCGCGTGCAGACGGGCGCCCGCCTTGGCGAGGCGGTCGGCGTGCTCGTTGCCCCGCCTCTGGGCCTCCGTCAGCTTGCCGTCCAGGACAGCCTGCCTGGAGCAGTGCGCGGGCA